TATATATATATATATATATATATATAGATTGAGGTGTATGTACAGTGCAGACGCACCTGCAGCGAGTTGCATGCAAATGCAGTAATTTGACCCCACAAATCGATGAAGACGCTGCGGTGTCTGTGCAGCAGAGATGCTGCAGCAACGCCTGCAGCAACAATCGCTTCCAGCAGCAAACCAACTGTGGGGATGCCTGCAATCAACACAGCAACAGCAGCAGCAACAGCAGCAGCAGCAGTAGCAATAAAGCAGCGGCTATTAAGCAGCAGGGAGAGGTACAGAAGGGCTGCTTGCTTTTTGTTTGAAATCTGGCTGTGCGATTAGTGCTGCTGCTTCATGTGCTGCTTCTGTTGCTGTTGCTGCTGCTGCTGTTGGTGTTGCTGTTGTTGCTGTGCTGCTGTTGTTGTTGCTGTGCTGCTGCTGCTGCTGCTGCTGCTTACAAGCATCAGTTGTATCGGAAGCGCAAGACACAGCAGCAGACCCCACACCCTCCTCTTCGGCTTCCTCTGCATAGCGGGAAGCAGCTGCTGGGATCCGATCCTGGATCGTCGATCCCAACTCCCTGAAGACCCCACACCTGCCTTCAGCGGTGCACACTCTTTGATGCTGCTCTTTAACCTGCAACAAAGAAAAACAAACAAAGAAAAATAAATGAAGAGAAATATTATACAATAAAAATAACAATTACATATCTACATATATATATATATATATATACATATACATCAATATATATATATATATGCATATATATGTATATATATATATATACGAACAGACACGATGTAAACATTACGCAATAAACAAAATGCATGCACAAAGATATTATACACCAATACATATATATCTATATAATACAAAGGAGCGGAAACAACAGCAGCAGCAGCAGAAGCAGCAGCAGTAGTAGCAGCAGCAGAAGCACAAGCAGAAGCAATCAGCTTACAGTATCATAAAGACAGCACAGATCAGGCGAATGCAAGGGAGAGTTGCTGCTGCTGCTGCTGCGGCGGCGCCCAATGTAGTCTTCCTGATATGGAGATGCAGCAGCAGCAGCAGCAGCAGCAGCAGCAACATCATCAGCCTCCTGCCGCTCCTCCGCTACTGTCTCTACGTCAACCTCCCCTTCAGAAGAAGCTATATCAGCAGCAGCTGCTGCCGTTGTTGTTGCTGCTGCTGCTGCTGTTGCTGGTGCTGCTGCTGCTGCGAGCCCCTGCAGCGGTACGTCTACCTGAGGCTGCTGAAGCATCTCCTTGCTTGGTGGCAGCTGGTGCTGCTCCCCTTGCTGCTGCTGCTGCTGCTGCTCTTCTTGTTGCGAGTTTTCTTCCTCCTCCTGCTGCTGCGCTTGTTGTTGCAGCTCTTGCTGCTGCTGCTGTTCTTTTTGCTGCTGTTCCTGCTGCTGCTGCTGCTCTAGGGGAGTCTCTGTATTAGTTTCGTTGCTGCTGCTTGCCTTCACCACCGCAGCATCGTTTACATCTGCTGTTGCTGTGTTTGCTGCTGCAGTATCTGCTGCTGCAGTCTCTGCTGCAGTCTCTTCTTGCCTTTCACCCTCATCGCTGGCCCCCGTTTCTCCTGCTGATGCTTCCTCTGTCTCTGCTTTGCTGTTTTTATCTTCTCCCTCCGGCTGCTGCTGCTGCTGCTGCTGCTGCTGCTTTTCTTCACTTATATCTTCCTGATTCTTTTCTGCTGCCTCGTCTTCTTCGTTGGTGCTGCTCTTTGCTTGCTGGTCTTCTTCTTCTGTTTGCTCGCCTTCGGTATCTGCAGCAAGTTGCTGCTGCTGCTGCTGCTGCTGTTCCTGGGCAGGGTTTAGACTGCCTGCAGCAGCTGCTGCAGCTGCTGCAGCAGGAAGGTCTTCTGCTGTGCAGAGGGTCTCCACTGCGTTGCTGCTGCATAGGCTAGTAGAGGAGGCGGGGAGATCTTCGCCGCTGCTGTTTGCTGCTGTTTGTTCTGCTGCAGCAGCAGGAGCATTAGCATCATCAGCAGCAGCAGGAGCAGCAGCAGCAGCAGCAGCAGCAGAAGGGGCCCCCCCTTTGCTGCGGCGGTGGCTTCCGTGCTTCCGTCTTGAAGGCATCTTGATACTTTACAAGAAAAACAGAATAAACACTTAGGGCTTAATCTTTAAAGCTCGAATACCTTAGGGTTTAGGGTTTAGGGTTTAGGGTTTAGGGTTTTAGGAGAGCAACAGCCAGCCAGCTACGCTGCGTGTATATAGAGACTGATGGTGTGATATGAGAGAGGAGAGAGAGAGAAATAAAACAAATAAAGAGTTAAATATATTTAAAAATAACTTATCTTTTAATTCTTTTGTTTATTACAAAGCAGCAGCAAACAAAGAAACGAAGCGAAGCTGCAGGCGTGCAGGAGCCCGATGCAGATATTTATTTTTGAGTGTATCTTTATCTTTTTCAGATATATTTTTATAGAGGTTCTTCGCCTTTTCTCAGGTATTTGTTGTCTTTTAAAGCTTATTTCCATGTAATAATGCATTATTTAATCTAATTTAATATTTATTCATCAAAATATTTTAGTTCTTCACACCTTTACACACTAAAGCTTACACACACCTCCTCCGCCTCACTTCTCTCTTCTGCACACACGCCCCGCAGGGGTCTCTCACAATAAGTAGGCATCTGTACAGTACAAATTAGAAAATAAATGCAATAAATATATTATTTAAATTAAATTTATTTATTTATTTCAATTAAATAAAGGATTTAATGAACAAATTCAAACCAACGGGGAAAACTGCTACACACGCATCATGACCCTTGATATTATGTGTAGACAGATGTAAAAAATATTTATTCATATATTTATGCATTTATATATTTTCTTTTTTGTTTAAATATATTAATTTGTAGCAGAGAACAACATTTTAATTGATTAAATGCAAAAGGATAAGTTAATAAAAACTGTATCTTCACTCACCATTATAGAGGAGGAAGAGGAGGCGGGGTGTATGCAGAGAAGATGAAGGTAAGGCGGGTTAATTTTTGATGAATTCAAATAAAAACAAGTAAATAAATTAATTTAATTAATTATTTTTGTATTATAAACGTATTATTGACAATACTTACTTGCAAAGAAGAAGAAAAAGAAGAAAAATTTATTCAAGAAGATACTGCTTGACGAGCCAAGCCCCAGTTAACAGGGGCCCCCCTCTGCTGCAAGCATAGACGAGATTTCCTTGAGTCGCTGTTTACTAATTAAATAAATATATCCTTAATAACTTCTTTTAAATCTATACTAATGAAAAACAGCAGCAAAAGAAATGCTGTTCCCTAAACGGGGCGGTGTGGCACTCGGAGGGAGAGCAGCAGGATATTGATATTGAATTAAGGTGTATATACACCTCATTTTCTTTTCTTATTGATTAACGCACAAAGAAGAGTTATTAGCCTTTATTACTTTGCTGTCTTACCTCCGTTATTTGTCTTCTCTTTCGATCTCGCGGTTGCGTTGCTGCAACAGGAAGAACTTTTGCTGCTGCTATCTTTTGAGGGTTTTCTCTGTTCATTTCCTCTGTCTTTTAACCCTTATCTTTTCCTGAATTGCAGCAGAAGTTTAAGAAAATGTCAGGGGCTAAGGGCGTCGCTGTCTGCGCCTCTGCATATGCAAAGATGGTCTCGCATGCACTGCGACACCATCGGGATCCCGTCTGCGGTTTATTAATAGGCCCTGGAGATCAACCAGCTGGTAAAAACAGTGAAATTATTTGTGCTGAGGCTGTGCCGTTGCTTCATACGCACTTTCTGCACCCGCAGCTGCGGCTAGGAGTTGAATTGGTATGCTGAAGAGGGGGGGTGTAGGGGGCTCGCCAGCGATATTGAATAGAAAATAAAAAGGAGAAAAAGCTTATTTTGACTTGATAATTGGGATTTTAAGAGCGAAATATGCAGAAATGTTTGAATATAATTGCGATTTACCTTTTTTTAATTCATGAATCGCCCTCTGCTGTGCAGGTTGAGACCTTGTGCGAGGCGGGGGTGACGGAGGAAAGCGGAGGTTTTTTCTCTTCTTTTCACGAAAATAAATGGTCTAAGCCGAAGATTGTTGGATTTTACTACGCAGATATCCTCACAATTTCAGATAGAGCACCAATAATGAACAAAGAAGCTTCGCATATTGCACAAGTGCTGAGGCAGCACTACCCGCAACTTGTTGTCTGTTTGGTACGTAAGAAGTGGACAGAAAATAGCTTAAAGTAGAGGAAACATTATTTTATAAAACATTTAATGCTTCGAATAAGGTTTTAACTTCATGCTCTCCTTTTGTTAATCGAAAAGAGGGGGTTTCTCTGCTTTTTCTGCTATTTACTTGATAGCTTTCTGCAATTTTTGTGAGGTGTACGTACAGCTGGATTTCAAAAGAATGCCTGAGTCGAAGCCGGTGACGACTGTAAGGAAACCCTGATATAATTTGTTTAAATTAATTATATTTATTAAGTTGAATTTGTTTATTATTTGTCTTGAAAAGAATATGCTGCAGTTTCAGCAGCAGCACTGTTGAGCAAAAGAAAGCAGATCTCCTCAATTCAAAACCGTTAAACAATTAAACAATACTTAGCATTATTTCACGTGTTATTTCTTTTCGTTTTAATCCCTTCATCTTTTGAGTTAATTCTTTATTTTGTTTTCATTTATTTTCTCTCTTTCAACAGCTCTACCAGATACATTTTTCTTATTGCGACAGCCTCTGTATTGCCTCTGCTCTGCTGCTTTCTTCTTCTTTTTCTTTGAACAGTTCTGGGCATTCATCGGCTCTAACTGGACGGCATTCCCCACAGAGGTCATTCGCGTCTCCGAGGCCGCTCTGCAACTTGCAGAGAAAACAATAGCGGAAGAAACGTAAGAGAACTTCAATCTCAACATTATACAGTTATATATATATATATATACATATATATATATCTGCTTATCTGTATTTATTTTTATAAATTGTTATCGACATATGAGCATTTGCATGTTTTTATGCATGTGAGTATGCATCTACATAGACAATAAATCTATAAATGCACACGCATATATATATATATATATATATTATATGAATATTAGTAAGGAAGGATGCATGCGTGATGATTTCTGTTGTTGCTGCATGCAGATATTTGCAGCTGGCGGACTTAGACGATCATTTGGCTGACCCGGCGCTCTCCCCTTTGAATTCTTCTCTCTTTCTGCAGCATCATCACTTAGTAAGTTGTCTATTTTCTATATCTGTATATATATATATATATATATATAGACAGTTAAGGGGGTGCATATATTATCTATATA